CCAGATTGAGTCCCGTGTTCTAAATACCCTGACCCCTGGCTATGGCACCAGTGTTCTAACCATTTGTTAACCTGGCCAATCTACCTAGCCTTTTTAAGGTCCTCCCCTCTATCATGGAGAATTGATGAAAAGACTGTCTGAGCTCCAGAGCCCCTAACCACCTCTCCCAGGGCTCTGTAGTCCTTCATAATATTCTCCTACTGCTGTCTGTATTGCTAGCTCCACATGGATCACTAGAAGTGGGTAATAGTGGGACTTACTAGAGCAGGCAGCCTCTGCAACACCGCTGATCGGAGCCCCAGGTAGGCGACACACCTCCCTTGAGACTGGGTCAGGCTGACTATGGGTGCCTCTGTCCCTTTCAAAGTAGGGACTACTATGACCCGCCACTTTTTCCTTGCAGCACCAGCAGAGATCTCCTTTAGCAGTGCATCAGCCGGCTGTTCACGGTGTTAGGTGTGCGTTTCCTTGTTAGATCCCTGCAGAACCGCAAAGCAGTTCTGGGTGGGGGCAACAGATTTAGGAGGAAGCCCCTTGCTTTTAACTGTCCTCGTTCTCCTTTTTTTGTTGGTTTTTTTTTTTTTTTGGTTTTTTGTTATTAGTTCCCAGCTGTCCAGGTTAACGGCCTCCTTTCCTCCATGAGCTACAGGGGAAGCTTGAGGCCCCTGCAGTTTGGGCCTGGAGCAAGCGTTCCTGCTTCCTCTCAGCTTCCCTGACACCTTGCAGCCTATCAATAGCAGCCTGCAGCTCAGCCCCAGCGGCAGGAGGACCTGCACCAGGGAGCCCCGAGCGCAGCCCTGCCCATTGTGCACCCTCCCCTCACCAGAGCACTGCAGGCACTCTCTGCACCCTGAGCTCTGCGCTGCAGCCTCCCCTCTCATCAGCTCTGTGTGGGTGCCTATCCTGGCCACCACCGGGGCAGCCAGAGCAGGGCTTCCAGACTGGGCCCTGCTCATAAGGCGAGTGCTCACCATCCCACAAGAACTGCGTGCCCTGACTGCTGTGCCACGCAGGTTAGCTCCTGGTCACTCACGAATGAACCAGTCACGACTATAACAACGTTTCAGCATAACCATACCATACTGAAATGTATACGTACAGACAGAATCTCACCCTTGGCTGGAGTAAAGTGTCTGAAAGTTGCCACACTTTTTCCAGTTTATTCTGTGGCTTCAGAAAGCAATTAATTGCTCTTCTTCCAGAAGCAGCAAGTGGGCACAAACCTCATCCACTGAGGCCACCTCTGCAGTGCCAGATCCTGCTACCAGCTGAGGACTGTCTCCAGGAGTTACATTTGGTTACAGAATGAGGTAGTGCTGACTGGTGTGGGGTTTGCTATTTTAGCAGCTGTAGTGTGCAGACATGCCCTGTGCCTTTGTACTTTTGCGGTACCCAGTATTAGCTTGTTCCCAGTAATCAGCTTGGTTCCCAGTAATACCTCGTTTCCTCAGCAAAAAAACTGACCTTGTTGCATTCCCATTGGCCATGAGGACATCATAGAGATAAAGCCAGTACGATCTAGAACTGTAATTCTCCATGTTTTCAGGGCTTTGTCAGACACCGGGCAACAAAATACAAGGTTGCAGCCACTGCTGTGGATTTAGGTCAGATCAGGAAGGACTTCTGCAGTTCTGCTAGTTCAGAGTTGCTTCTAGACTAAAATGACATTGCCATTTGTGTTCTTCTGCGTATCTTGCATATTAAAAACTTGCTTACCTAATTCAGTCACAAGTCTGTCTCATTATAGTGACAGCAGCACACTGGGGCTGGGTGTTAGGAATACTAGGATGCATTTTTCCCAGGTAAAATTATATTAAGTTATAATTTGGAAATGTCTTGTTTGCCTTAACTCTGGCACAAAAGATGTGCTGGATTTTATTTTGTAAGATGTGCTTTTTCATTGAAGTTTAAGTACCTTAGCATCTGATCTCCCACTCTGAAATGACTTTTGGATGAATCAGACCATCTCAAAGTGTTTAGGTCAGAGCAGTGCAGTATAAGTCTAGGTTTGACCTACAGTGACAGCCAACATTCCAGGGTGTTGTCCAGGTTTTACCTCAAACATCAGAACTGGAGGATGTAAGAGCAGTCTTGAAGGCTTTGCCACTCCAGTCTCTCAGAGAATTATTCATTCCTGTTCTCTACAGTCATTTTCTGTTCCTGCACACCATTCATGGTTTTGTAAGGAAGGGCACATGATGAGTGTGGGTGGAATCACTTTACTGCACTTCTCTAGAATTACTGTGAAATAACTCTTATGTCAATAATCTTTGTTTTACATTCCTTCAGTAGCAACTCCGGCAAGAAAACAAAGCTGGGCAGGGGAGAGAGAGAACAAGTTGTACAGTTCTCAGAAAAATACAGGTAAAATCAAAGCTAATGGGGTATTTAATCTTTATTAGTGTGAAGATAAACAGCTTTTAATAAAGACCTGACCAAAAAAGCATGAGAAAGCATTGTCCTCCCTGAATTGTACTGGCTATGTGCTAAGGATGGGGGACAGGGTCAGAAAGCTGTGCTCCTGTCTCTCATCAGGGAATTTTTTTCCTCCCCTGTTTCTACAGTTTGAAGATTGAATCTGCTTTCATTGCTGCAGCAGTCACACCTCCTCCAATGAAACCAGCATGATAAGCATACATAGACCCTAAAGACCTGCACTATTCAGTAAATTTGTTAACATTTGCCTGCTTACTGCTTGTGTTTGAGCTGGAGACTTGAACTTCACTCTCTACATCCTCTGAAAACTATCTTTGAGTATGGCCCCTGGAATCTGAAAGTTGTATTTATTCACTGAATAATAGTGGTAGTAGTGCCAATAGCAATAGGAAGTCCACAGTAAGAGTTCTGAAATTATATAAAAATAGTTGGGTTGCAGCAATAAATAACAGCATTTGCACTTTTAAAGAAACAACAGTTCTGATTCAGTTTGGCTTGGAACACTAAGTGAGTCAATACGCTTCTTCCAGCTCTGCCTGTACATCGCTCCTTGTCATCAGCACTGAGCTTGTATTGTTAAGAGAAAAACTTGGCCTTGTCCATAGGCAAGTAAGTGAGGAACTCCGTCCACTGTACTGAGAAGAGCACTGCACTGGGAGCAGGATCCTAACGTACTGGGCTAACCTAAGCCACTTATGACCACGGTACTCATAGTTTTGTGGGTAGACTTTTCAAAGGTTTAAATGTTGTGCTTAATCGCTTCCAGCAGTCAAAAGAACAGGTTAAGCACAGTCCAAAAGAAATAAACAACTACACAAATTAGATCCATTCTCTGTTGTGGTTCCCTGAGGTCAGGTAGCTCAAAGGGTGTACCTCTCACACTGTTCTTCAGATGTTTGCACATCAGCTCCTTACTCAATTGTTACAAAACTTAAGTATTCAAGCCATTTGCCTGTAAATTCTCCACACAGCGCTGTAAACTACTTTTTATTATCCTTTTCCATCTATGTACCATCTTTAGCAGCTTGATACTTGCTGCATTAGAAAAGAATATTACAGGGGAGAGAAGCAGGGACTCTGGCAGTGGCATCCAATGACACTGACATGTTAAAGCACTGTTGAGCCAATACACTGGTTGAATTCTACATTTTACTTAAAAGTTATGTGGAGAAGTAGACAAAAGTATTGCATTAACCCAGTTTCATTTGTGTAATGGACCTTATGGATTTAATTCCCAGTCACACACTAAACACACGTCTGCTGATGCAACATTTTCTCCTTACACGACAATCCTCACTTTTCACTTTACAGGAGGTGGAAATCGGTTTCATTCTAACTTGCAGTTTAAAAATATTTCTGTATGCCTTTGCAAAAGGATATTAAAAGCTAAACAAAGTTGAGCATAAAGCTATGTTGGGCTTCTTACTTTGAGTCAAAGGGAATGTAGGTTACTCAGGCATTGTAGGAAAGCTGTGTTGTGCAGGGCAACACACTGTCCTGCGCACAGCCCTGAACCATCCCCAGGGAGCAAACACGTGGATGAGATCTCCTTATTTCTGTGCATACAGGTATGTAAGTACAACTCATTCCTCAGTCTTCTGTTTGGTTCATGTTGATGAAGGAAATAGTGATTGGATGTACAACATTTGAAAAAGCATGTTATTTTTATGTTACTTTTATTATTTCAAAAGCTTAACTTTGAAGAGGTTGTCATGAAGACAGATGACGCAGTGGTCTTCTCTCCCCCCATCCCCAGCATTCCCAATAGTAGCAGAATTCCACACTAGTCCTAGTGAAGGGAAAAACTGGAGTTAAAGATTCCAGTTGCCAAGGCTGCTCACTTGAATTACTATAAAAGCAGCTGAGGAGCAGGGCTCTTCAGTGGTGTGAAGGGATGAGTGCTGGTTTTGGAGCAGAATCAGCTTTTTATTGTCTAATAGTTTGAAAATGTAACTGAATTAGTGAGTCCTCATTGCAATATTTAACAAAATGCATGGGTTTTTGTTAAAAATGAGGATGACATTTCAGTGAGCAGCAGGCAGATGTAAATTTAGGTGTATGAGTGATTTAAGAAGAAAACCAACCCCAACCAATGCACCCTAATCACAGAGCTAAAGCTCCAAACCACAGGACATCCGTGCACCAACAGCTGCAATTTAACTGTTATTTTATCTTTTAAACATTTATCTACATTACTGCACTGTGAAAATCAGCTTTCTCAAGAGACAAGAAAGAGACACAAGGGCTAGTTTCAGGTAGTGCAGTCAGACTCTGATAGCTCCTTTAATTTCTTTACACAGTAAACAGACTTCTAATTATACCAACACCCTGGTCTGTACTTTCTTATTTACATGGAACTCTTTTACATATATACATGTTAGCAAAATACAGGGCATGTCCCAGAACCAAATGCATTTCAACTATATCTTTGTTATACAACTAATGCTTAAAAAAAGAAAGCAAGCCCACCACGCCCACCTCCCTTCTTTTCTTACACACACATCTTACATCACACAGTGATCCATTTGGCTGAATACTACAGTCAATCATATGTATTTCCTTACCATATAGGACTTTCTCTAGTGACAGAGTACCATCAGCTCCAGACCAGTAATTGCAGTTCACTCTGGCAGTAGGAAGAGGTTCAGGAGTCCAGCTCTAATTGGTCTTGATTTTCACTGAGTCTTAACATAAGCTGTTGTTCATAATAAAGGCTCTTTGCATAGTTTATTTCTTGAGACAGCTTTATTGCAAGAACTTCAGATTTCACATTCACCTGCAAAGAGAAACATGGTTTTTCACAATGTGGTACTGCTGTCACCTAAACCAGAATACAGTTATTTTTATCACTTCACTAACCAAAGGGGTTAGCTCAGAAGTCTCCTCTAAGGAACAGAAATGTTTCTGTGGTGATTCCTTCTCAGGCTGAAGTAAGGAAGAACTGAGAGGGAGAGACAGGTAAATACTGGTAGGTACTGTAGGATGAGAGCAGAAACACCTTGCAACATCGTAAGTTACCTCTTTCCCTTCCCCTCCTACTTTTTATCTGGCTCTTCTGTTTGGAATGTAAACTGACATGGGTCAGGGGTGAGCTTGTAATCTTGCCTGTAAAACTGACCCCCAAACAACTACTGCAGTGGGTGTTATACATACAAGTTCCGGCTGACTTGTACACGCATGACACACTCTTTCCAATCTTAGTATTTATAGGAACAGAAGACTAAACAGGCAGGAAAGTACTTAAGTTTCATGTACATATTGTAAAGTTAAAAGCCTTTTCCAAGCAAATTGACATTTCCGACTGTAACTTTTCTGCCTACGGAAGTATCTTAGATTGTGCCTTCAGCTTTTCTCAGGACTTTGGGGAGCAAGTCATACTGTCACCCAGACCTTTCCAGCAGCCACTGGTTTCACTGCTGGCAGAACAAGGTTTTCATTGTTAAGCAGCACAGGAAACCAAACACTAATGACCACAAACACTTGGGCACCTCTACAGGCATAAAGGGGAAAAGAAAGCCCCACATGAATGAAACAGTAGGTGCTAGATCCTTACCATTGGTTTCTGTTGTGATGGGCCTGGCATAGCTACACCACTACTGGTATTAACAGCTTTCTTCGTCAACTGTATGTACACGTTCCCATGGTCTTTTGAAACAAGGCAGTGGTAGAGATCATCATACTTGACTTCAAGGAAGATGGCCTCGCGGTCTGTGTAATCACCACTCTTCAGGAAATAAACAGCTTTAGATGAGATGAGAACACAGTAGCTGTCTATGTTCTCCACTGCTATAAAGCTGCAGAAAAGAGAAAAAGGAAAACTTAGTCACTTGAAGCTAAAAATAGTAACCTAATAAATGTCTTCACCTGTTGTGTTTTGTGACCTTTGAAAGGCTTTCAGAAAAATAAATAGTGTAACATGTACAATTCATCTGTATTGTATTTAAACTGTTCCAAAAAAACTCAAGCTGATGAAGTACACTCTCAGTTAAAAAAGGTCATGCTGTAAATCAAATATTAGTGCTAAATGTCTAGCTTCTAGCTCTGGACATGAAAAGGGCATATAAAAATACTCTTTAACAAGGCTTAAGAAGAGTCATTTCCTCATATCAGAACACTGCAAGTCCGCATACTGAAGCTTAATTGAAACTAACTTCAGTTCCAGTGCTGATACATGAAAGGTTTGCAGACATTTATGACGAGCATTATCCTTCTACACACTGTAAACCTGCTGTGCTTCCTTTTACCACACATCTCCCCTGCCTTTAAAAACAAAAAACCAGTTTAACCTGCTGCCTGGATCAGTAGCTAGAAAAGAGAAATTAGCTGTTTAACACAGGGGTGAAAGGTTAAGCAGCAAGCAGGTTTCCCCAGAGAGATTAGTCTGAGTGATGAATAGTAGAGGTAGAATAGAGTGAGTTCAGAATAGCAAGAATTATGACAGCCGAAAAGGTAATGAAAATAATGTGTAACAAAAATAACCATAAAGTGAAGTAGATATGTGACACACAAGCTTCTCCCCCACTTACCATTTACTGCTGAAATGAACCTCATTAGTGGGGCCCTTGAAATGCTGAAAGTTTCACAGAATTAAATACAAAATCATAACTATGGAAGAGTGCTACACAGAGTAGTAATGTTCCATCCACAGCAGCAGAAGCATAGCTGTAAAAACAAAGATTCTGCTGCTGCCAGGTAGGTTTAAAATGACTTATTTTCTGAACCGTTGCTTACACAAGTCAGCTGTTATCCTAATACCGTGTGTAAACTACTCCACTAGCTCTGAAATCATTGCAGTTTGTTATTACTCGGGAGGTTTTGGTAGGTAAAAAGCTCTACTATCTGTAACGCTACTGCCAACTTTATCATTTAAGTAACACCACACAAATTACTCTGAGCCGTATCCAAACAAATCCATTACTACAAATGGAATTTTAATAGCTAGAAAAATTTCAAGGTCAGATCATGGTTTCTCTGTGGTGTAAAAGAATAATTCCAGTACCTTTTTATTGCTCGTTCTCTCAGAGACTGTATTGTGCACTGACCTTGTCTTTTTCCTGCCCTATGCCTGCTAGCCCTGTCAGCTCACAAGTGCCCTTGCTTCCACAAACTTGGGAAAGGCAAACACACACAAGTCAACAACTTACTGTCACTGAAGTACTGAGAAGAGCACAGCCTTTCTAATTAAAAAAAAAAGGCCTGTAATACACTGTGCCCAGCTCTAACCTTGGATAAAACCATGGAATAGGAAAACTGAATTGTGCTCTTTTAAGTAAAATGGACAAACCCATTTATTTCAGCTTCAAAAAACCCAGGTGGAAGATGTTAACACAGTTACTGAAACTAGCTGAAACCCCTCAGTTTTCCATCAGGAGTTCAGACACTTTGGGGTAAGGTTTTTGTCTTGGAAATAAGTAGGATGGAGAGTGGTATTTTTTTTGAAGTATCACAGAAAACTGATTTTTAAAAGAGCAGCATTACAGCCTGCAGAATAATAGGCTTGTTCCTTAGGACAGACATACAAAAACAAGTACAGCATCCGACAGAGGTCCTAGCTCTGACCTGGGTCAGGCCTCTACAAGAGGTAGAACCAGAGACAACTTCATGGCACACTGACTTGCTCTGCTTCTTCTCCAGCAGAGAAAGGACCAGACACCCTGAACACTGTGTCTCTGTCTTTTGCTACAGTCACAGGGAGGCTGAAAAGCTTGCAGTGGTTTTATCCATCCACAAAAGCAGCACAGCTGTTCTCCTGATGGATGGAGGGACATCCATGAGGAGAACTGAAGCCTGCAAAGCTACTGTAATGCTCAGTGGAAGTGACTGGGTAATTGGGCTGTGGGTTTGTATGTTCTTTGTAAGGACAACAGATTATAAATCTAATTTTCCATACAAGATTTTTACTGGTGTCATGTATGTATTTTGAGGAATGGAAACAGAGGTCACTGATTTAATGGCAAAGCATAGAAACATTAGCCTATCTGTGTTCAGGCTCTACATTCTGTCCCAGATTTGAGGCATGCATTATTACCAATCTGCTCTTGCCAACTGTTTCTTTCTTCTCCGTGTCTAGTTCTCAAAATTGGTATTTAACCTTTAAGATACTACTTCAAGATACTACTAGTTGGTTTTTTTTAAACCCGTACTTCTACACTATTAAAAATATTTCAAATTAATAAAACGAAAATTTAAATGAAACATGATCCAGTAGAACAAAGTAGAAGCAACCAGATCTCTGGAGAATTTGTGGGGTTTTTAACAACATCAGGAAGTAATTACACATTATTTTCCAGAAGTGAAACAGCCAGCCTAACTGGAAAAAAATGTGGAAACATTTAGTTAGAACAGTAGAGCAAGGTATTAAAGCTCCTTTTATGGATTTAACTCTGAAGGAAAATATGCAAATAATCATGTCTTTAAATGTGTTTCTGATTATGATGCTAGGATAAAAGAGGCATAATTTTGTACTTATTTTCATGACAAGAAATGCTGTGTTCTTGTTGAATGATGTTCCTAATGGTGAAAGTCACAGTGAATTAACAGTGTGACTCCATGACAAAAGCCCACTGATCTGCTTATGGGTGCACTTGCTAAAAGCTGGCGATGCTTTTGGTCACAAGTGGCTCTCTTTCACTTCTCCCTGCCTAAGGCCCAGATTGTATATGCATAAAGACACTTAAATGAGATGAAAACAGGATAAACAAGGGTGTGAGATCACAGGGCTGCAAGCAAGTAGCAGATTGGATTCTACCTTCAGCTGCTTGCAAGAGCCTGTCAGAGTCTGATCACTGACACTGGTGAAATTAAGATACTAAAACAAATAAATAGAGCTGCAGGTTGTTTTGGTCATTGGCTGTTAACAGCTCAGGAATAACATGTACCACAGGTGTCCAAGTTAGTGTCTCTAAATCAGAGCCACCTTAGAGAGCACTGTGCTGGTCAGTGGTGATCCATGTTCTGCTGTCAGGAATCACTAGCCACTCCCCTAGGCCTTGGGCTGTGTAGAATGGGAGGTAAGGGACAGAGAAGGGAAAAGATACTGGTAATGCCTGGATGAATGTTACAGGAGAAGAAGAGCACAGGCTTGAAACACACACTTGTTTTATCAGTGGAGGGTTGGAGACGCATCATGCTTATTAAGGGACTAACGATTACTTAGAAACTTACTGAGATTTCATGTTTTGTAATGACAGAAGGGGACCAGGGACTTCAATAGGAGCAGGAATCAACAAACTGAAGCCTCTATGTGAACCGCAGGAGTCCTATGGCCCCTGCAGTGTCTTCTGTGTACAGCCAGTGGACAGGCTGGAGGTGCTTAGGTGCTCCTGCTGTGCACTTAATGGGTATCAGCCGAAAGCAAACAACGTGCATGTGCATGTGCATGTGGGTGTGTAAAACAGTTTTAGTCCCTCTTTCCCAAAGACCCCAAAGGCAGCAAACAGAACTACTTAGAGTAACTTTGCCAGTCAGAACTTACAACTCATCTTGGATGTTGTCAGTCAGTTTGAAGAGCTGTTCTTGTCCTTCTGCTTGACTCTGTGAGTAGCGGGGCAAGAGCCCTTGCGGTCCCCTGCAGCAGCGGGGCTTTCTCACTCTCTCTGCTCGTGTCCTGCATGCAAAACAGATGCAGAAAAATGACTTAGTGCCACAGCAGCACTTTTGCTTCCACTTAAACCTGTTAGCACACAGTTTTATTTACTTTGAACTATGAAGTGTGACAAAGAAATGCCAGGTCTTTGCAAATACGGCAAATAGATTCTGTAATACTTGATGTGGAAGACATGGTGTCCGTTCCTCTGGTTTTACATTTTCAAATAAATGTCTCCTGTTTTTCTTCTACAGTTAAGGCGCAGTGTGCTAAATTAATAGGAAAGAGCAACCTAAGATGATTACACTGTCTCCAGATTTGGGATCGATTTATCAGCACAGTTTTACTGATCTGTTTATTCTCACTGCTCTATAGAAAACAACCTAGATAAAGCTCATGTTTATTTAAAAACATTGAAGAGTTATAGGAACATGCAGCTAAGACAAAAGAAAAATCCACATTAACTAGAGGCTCTGCAGTAGGGTTTAGGATAACTTACCTTTCTTGAGCATCTACTAAAAATGACAGTAAGAGACACATGTGTGGCCTAACAAACATGAGAGGTCGATACTGGCCCTGGTGCTGAAGAACTGCAGGCTAGGTTCCTCCCTTAGCAGTATTTTGTTAAAAAATAACACGCTGAATTCCTTTAAGCTTCTGGAACACCCTAACCCTGAAGACCTGTGTATCCAGGCTGCTGAGCCCTGCTTTAATCTCAGTCCATTCCAAACAGCATCACCCCGGGTCTGCTGCGTGCTTTTTCGTATCTCTGTCAGGCTACTGGTGTTAGGAACTTTCCAAGCCAAATGTACCAGTTGTGCTTAGTGCTCTCCAATTCCCATCCTGGATCTTTGTACAAACCCTGTGCAGTGAACTGCTCCTATCCTTTTCCATCAAAAGACAGGACAAAAATCCCATGTTAGGTCTCGTTTTTCTTTCTAAGCTGCCTGGCACTAGCACGTAAGAGTAGCTGCCTTCTAAGCTTTGCTTTCTGCTGGTGTTTCCTCCAGAGCCTTGTTTCTGTGTCACCTTTCCCTTTCAGCTGCCCTGTCCCAGACTTGCAACGCAGGTACCCTTTTACAATTTGTTTTCCTTCTAGTCTTTGACACCTTCGCCTTTCAATGGCAACAGACTTGGGGGAGGGTGGAGGTGGTTTGCCCCTTCCCTTCTTGGCTGCAGGAAACATTACTGAACACCATCTCCTGTATGTCATTTATGACTTAGCATCACATTTGCTGCTTTTCCCCTGCAAGACGGGCCTCTTGGTGTTTTGGCTGTCCTGGCTCTGGCTGGTACCAACAAGGCATTTTGCAAACAAAGTATAGAAGATACTGACCGTGCAGCACAGCAGAGGAAAACATCAGCCAATTTCTTTTTTTTTAATACATTACATCTACCTGGTTAAGTTCTGATTTTGTTAACGAGGTTATTGCATCCCTGACCTGCATAGCGAACCCCAGCAGCTCAGAAGTAGCGCTTATCACTGATACTCTTTGAGAGAAGCCAGGAGAGACAGAACACTCTTGACTTCAGCGGAACTATGGTTATGCTAAGATAGAAAGTCAGTTTGTCAGCAGGGAGGATGAACTGAAAAGTGGAAATTCTCCAACTAAAAGAATGTGGAACAGAGCAGGGGCTTCAAAAACCGTAACAAATGCTGTTGTTAATAGTGCCAGCAATATGTTGTTAGTCAAATTTTCAGTTTTCCCTCTGCTGACAGATGTTCTCGTTGCTCTACCTGTCCCACTGCATCGCTTTGCTTTTCGCTGGATGTTCATTAACATATTGTTCATACAACATTATGCGTCCAAGCCAAAAAATATCAGTCTGAAAACTGCAATTTGCTGCATAAAGATACTTAGTATTACTTGTATTCTTCCATTTGTAGCCTTTCTCTGAATCAGGGTTACCTAAACACTAGATGATTTCCACAACCCAGGTATGACTTCAGATTATTCTGCTGAGTACCAGCTGTATGCAGGGGTTAGCACTTCATTAGTAAGTACTACAACTTTGGAGCAAGTCACCTGTCCTGCCCCTTAGATTTTTTTTAGCTATAACCAGGATCCAGCTGTGCCAGGTACAGTTGTGTGGTATTGTTCCAAACCTACACCAGAGGGGAATAAGCGCCTGTTCTACCTATTGGATTCTTACAAAGTAGTAAACAAAAGTATGTGCTTGCTTCATGAAATGCAGAATGTTGAGGCAAAGGTCCAAAGAAATTAAAGGGCTCCAAGCAGTGTAATTCACTGCTTGCTGCTTGTTTTACTTCCTCACTTCCAAAAGCAGTAAAATGGCAAAGTTTCACTTAGCCAAGAAGCCCCCACAGGCTGTTAAACCTCTACAGCACCTGTAGCTTCTACTGACAAATTTCAAAAGCAAGTATCTGAAGTGTAATAGAATCATTTAGGTTGGAAAGGACCTTTAAGATGGAGTCCAACCATTAACCCATCAGGTTTCTCTCTCAATAGTTTCCTTTCCACAGTGGGTCAGATAATGTAGTTGTTAATTAACTACTGGCCAATCAATAACTCTTTAATTGGACACTTTCCTATGATGCATTCAGGAAAGCTGGATAACCGCCTGTATAGGAGTTAGCACTAATGCTGTAGAATGGGTTTTACATTAACCATCTTCCAGACAAAAGCTCAACTGTGCTGCAGTCCTATGAGAAGAGGTATCTGAAGCACTGCAGGAAAAGACTCCTGTAAAAATGAGGAAAGAACAGGGCCTTTTGGTCAGACCTATTCTGGAGAAACCAGAACATCGGCGAACACTGGTTTGTAATGTCTGGCTCAGAAACAGGTCAGAGAGCAAGTAGCAGTCCTACAAATAGACAGCACCACAGCGGATTGGGCAGTTTCTGTCTTGTGGGTTTGGTTGTGGTTGGGTTTAGGCTTAGTTTTTGTTTCTAAAAGGAAGGAGTACTTAAAGAGTATAGTGCTTACTGTCCCCACTGCTCCTCTGTCCCTAAGTATTCACCCTGGCGATAAAAGATAATCCTCACCTTAGTGATAAGGTCAGCTGCTTTCAACCAGGTGCCACTAGCATGAGCATAAACCACTGATTTAGTCCATCACCCCCTTTGGCAAAGTGCTTTGTTTGGTCTGGACAGCTAAAAACATTCCACACAACTTATTTTTTTAATCTAAAACTTTGTTCTGCTGTCTCAAGTTACGTTCTGTAAATAATAAGCAACACTGATGAAATAAAAAAGCTGCAGATTTGTAAAGCAGACGGTGGTGTGCCCACATCTGTGTTACATTAAACATGCACTCACCAGATTTGCTGATTCTTTTTTAATAAGCACACAAAGGCAACACAAGACAGAAATGCCCTCACGTCTACTAGTCACAGCAGGGTAGAGCACTGCTGAATGAAGACACAAAGAGATTGGAACTGGTGTCAGAACATTGAGGCACACACTCAGTTCTTCACTGTTCAGACCAAGCTGAACGCTAGAGAATCACTGCAGAAAACTCCAGTCACACCAACAGCAGCTCACGGTGTTCACTGGCTGCCTTCTGCCTAACACCTCACACAACACCTGTGATTCTGCTGTTTTGTAATCAAACAGATCACAACCTTACTGAGGTGAGGAAGTTGTTCAGGCATTACCAGTGATAATTATTTACCAACTGTGACCAAAAAACTACACGAGACATCACCTGTTTTACAGAATTGCTTATTCTTGTTCCTTCACTATTGTCACCCTGTCAGGTTTACACTGCCAGGTTTATAGATGTGATTCTTGCTGAGATGCATAAATACACAGTGGCTTTGAGAAAAGTAACTGTTACTCATCTTTTAGGCGTTTTGGACCTAAACAATTTTCTCAAAGTGTACTTTTGACAAAGCCATTAAAAAAAATAAATTAGAAGCTATCAAACTTTGTATTATCAAAGATGACAGTCTGTGAAACAAAACACTGCACTTATAAAATGATACTCAGATGTCTATCTTTCATTTCCCCAGTATCACACCCAGAATAACTTTAGGAAATTTAGCAACATCTCCTGAGAAAAAAAAGCAGACAAGATAATTCTGATGTCCAACACAGTATCACTACAACTGTCCATTTAAAACATGTATCTGTGGGATTTCCCATCTGTCCTTGGTAAGAGAGCAGCACTGGCAACTACGGACCTGACCAAGGAGCCCAACTTGAGCATGTGTACAGACCTCGATCCATGATCAGCAGAGTGCAAGGCCACCCCAGATCCTCCACAAACAGCTGTCAGTGTCTGGAGATGCAGTTCTGGTGCCTGACACTAGTATTTAACTGAAGAGGCTTCATCTGCTGTACCTGTACTGCATGTCTGGCACCAAGCCTCGAGTCCATTCCAGCTGCAGACACCAGTGGGCAGATCAGCCACATGGGCCCTCCAAAGAGCCCCGTGGCCACAGGGGTCTGGCCCACTCTCTCTGGCAATGAAGGCTTCCAGTGAGACCTAGTTCTTGCTGCCACAGCTTCCAACAACTGTCATTGACTCATCACATTCATAAAGGTGTTCCAGTTTAGCCACCTCATCACCCCAGCCCATTCAAAGCAGTAACTTAGTGGTTCTGGAACAGCTCAGGTTCTGTCAGGGTTTCCATTGCAAACTGTTTTTTTCAGGTTTGTATAAAATTTATTGATGAAAGGCTGTTCTGGGCTGTAACCTGGTGTACAGACTGTCAGCCTCGGAACAATTTCTATCCCTTGAAATTATCATAAGCTAACCTTAGTTCAAACAAAGGAAACCTGGCAGGTAATAGAAGCCTATGAAACAATTCCATGGCTGCTAGTATTTTCAAGATGTAATATCAAACCTGTTACTTACTTGGCTCTGGAAAAAACCTGCTTCATAAATACAGGGAGTGCTTTGCCGAAGGCTTTACTGCAGTTCAGACCTTAAGAAGGGACTTGACTTAGTAAGTTCAAGGAGGAATGGCCTTACATCTTCTATCACAAGATATGCAACAACTAAAATACATACTGCAGTTGCTGGGGTTCAGAACTGGAATGCAACTGCAGCTTT